TTGAATTATATTATTTCGAAAGAGAATATTTAATTATCAAATATTTTTTTTATTTTTATATTCTGTCTTCCAGTTTTTTTCGCATTTTCTCTCACGATTTTTGCCGCCCCAAGAAGTGCCGCCCGGGGCGGACCGCACCCCCCGCCCCCCCCCCTAGTTACGCTACTGTTTCGTAGTTTACCCTTTTCTCTGCCATGTTTATAAGATTCGCTGCTATCCTCTGTAGTTCTCCCTTAGTTCGTGCCATTAAAACCACATCATCTGCATATGCTAAGCATTGATGGCTTCTAGAAAATAAAGATCCATTTCTGTTAATTCTGCTATCTCTTATAATTTTTTCCAGAACTAAATTAAATAGAACTGTTGAGAAAGGATCTCCTTGTCTGAGTCCCGATTTTATCTGGAACTCCTTTGATGTTAGGGTCATCTTTACTAATTCTAGTAATTTAAAGGGTATTTTAAATTCTTTTAACGTATGAAATAGCTGTTTTCTTCCTACTGTATCATAAACGGCTTTAAAATCTACAAAAAGCATAAACATTGGTATATTATATTCATACAATCCTGATAACACTTGTTTTAAGGTGAAAAGTTGATCATTTGTGCCTCTATTTTTTCTCAGACCACCTTGATATTCCCCCAGCATTTTCTCTGCATAAGGTGAGGGATGAGCTTTTGGTTTATTGTACTTGCTAGAACTTTGTAAGTAACATCGAGTATTGATATTCCTCTGTAATTACTGCATATAGATTTATCTCCTTTAAAGGAGATAAATCTATATAAAAAATTTTATGGATAGGGATAATGTTAGCTTTACTCCATTCTTTCGGCATGTTTTCCTGCTCCCATATTACTTTTATCAAATTATATAGGTCTTCCCTTAACACCCACCAACCATACTTTAGATTTTCTGCCACTATTCCATTTGGTCCTCCAGATTTATTGTTTTTCATCTCATTTAAAATTTCATTTGTAGGAGGCGTTAAACATTTAACTTCTTTATGTTCCTCCTCTGTATCCTCACTCAAATTAGTTTCAGACTCCTCATTTAGTAATTCTTCAAAATGTCTCCATCTATTTAGAATATCTTCTTCTTCGCCTATTAAGTTTCCATGCTTGTCCTTGAAAAAACTAGTTGCCGCCTTATATCCTGCCTTAATATTATTTACTTCTTTGTAAAAGTTTCTTATTTCATTTTCCTGTATTTTTCTTCCATATTTTTTATTCTTTCCTCCATCATTTGTCTTTTTAGGAATCTGCATAGGCTTTTCACTTTTTTTCTTTGCTCTTGATATGCTTTTCTGTCCTCATTACTTCCACTTTGTAACATTTTTTTTCTTAGCATTATTTTTTCCTCTATCTATTTTTTACATGCCTCATTCATCCATTCTTTCATATGGTTTGGTTTTTGTTTTGGTAAACTTTCCATTGTTGCTCTATTTATAGCTTTTTCCAGGTTATTCCATTTGGCCTCTACATTTCTTTGTTCATCTATATTGATTTTCGTGAATGTTTATATATTCTTTTCCTATATTCAAGTCCCCACTTGCTTTAGATTTTCAGTATTATATCTAATATTATATTTTTTCTTTAGTTTTTTTTTCAATTATAGGTTTTGGGTATTTAAATTTTATAGCTACTAGAAAATGATCAGAATCAGCCTCTGCTCCTCTGAATGTTCTTACATTTTTTATTTGTCTAGAATATTTAACTGCTATTAAGACATGATCTATTTGGTTGGATTTTGAACTTCCAGGAATCATCCATGTACCTTTGTGAATATCTGTTCTTTTAAAATGCGTACTCATAATTTTCATATTCTTTTCTATGGCTAAACTTATCAATCTTTCCCCATTATCATTACTTTTCATGTGCTTACTTTCTCCTCCTGTTATATTTCTGTATATATCCTCTTTTCTAATTTTAGCGTTTGCATCCCCCATTATAATTTTTATATCCCCATCTTATTTCTTCATCTTTTTCTTTAGTAGGGGCGTGGATATTGATTATTGTTATGGCTTTATTTAACCCTTTTAGCCTTATGAGACACACTCTATCAGAAATAGGTTTAAAATATTTTACTTCTCCTTTTAGACTATTCTTAATCAGAAAACCTACACCATTATTGTATTTGGTTAATTTGACACAAAAAAACAGTATCTTGATCTGGGTACGAAACGCATTGCTATGTATTTTGATGCGCTGAAATCGAATCCGTCATCAGGATTGGACCAACGGGTATTTGTTTGGCCCTAACCTCAAAAAAATCTCAGTTTAAGCAATTTTAAGATGCCTTTTCTTTTTTTGTGTGGCTTTGTAAAAAACATTTTTTAAATGGAGTATTTTTAAGTAAAAAGTTTAAAGAACATGATGTCGCCGGTATCCAATTTACCAGACCATATTCCGTATATACCTACTTGTATGTGTTTGATATAAAACAAAACTTATTATTTAGGTTTTAAAGTAGCTTAGACAGGCAGGCAGGCAGGCGCGGAATTGTGCTGAGGCACAAGTCCGCCTTAGCTACTTATAAAACCCTAATATTAAGTTTTGTTCAATAAAAAATGCGGCGTGCCAATAAATTTATAGTTATAAGACACCACGCGGCGTGGCAGTAATAACTTTCTTTTTTTAATAGGCCAATATTTGATAATTTTATTTATTAGGTAGATTAAAAGTTTTTTATAAAAAAATATTTAAATTTTAACCAATTTTATTAGGCGTTTTCGGAAACCTACTGATCGATCACCCTGGTAAGTGAACCTGGCATTCGTTTACTTTCCCGGTCACTTGTTTGTATACTTTCTGCAGTTAGCAGACGCATGCACATGGCGTTTGGAAAATATTATTTTAACACCCACAAATGTTTTGTATATTTTTTTGTTTTTAAATTGTATTTTTTAGAATCGCACAAACATTAAATCAATTTAAAATGTTTTTTCTTATTTAAAAAGTCGTTTACTAAAATGATCGAGGACGCAATTAACCTTTGGGTTCTAGTCAGGTGATTTTTGTCACCCGGGTAGGCAACCTATGGCGTTTTCGAAAACCCCAGATTAGGTTTCTGAAAACGCGTGTCCCAAAAGTCACGTGACCAGAACTCTATCACTTTAGTAAACGAAAAGCACGGGTTACAAATAAAGCTGCAAATACCTGCATTTCGTTTTATGTCTGCATTTATCTTGTTTTATCCGAAAATGTCTGATTTCATCCGGTTTTACCGGCGATTGCCTGCATTTGGTTTGCATTCATTTGAATTTCATTTATATCTGCATTTATCTGGTTTTATTCGCAAATATCTGATTTCGTCAGGTTTTATCCGCAACTGCCTGCATTTCCTTTTATCTGCATTCATCGCGTTTTACCCGCAAATGCCTGTATTTGATTATAGGTCTGCATTCATACGGTTCTATCCGCAAATACGTACTATCATCCGGTTTTATTGGCAAACCCGCAATTTTCTTTTAATTTAACCCGGTTTTATCCGCGATTACCTAAATTTTGGTTTTATGTCTGCATTCATCTGGTTTTATCAGCAAATACGTGCTTTCATCCGGTTTTATCAGCTTTTACCCGCCTAAGTCTGTTTTTATCTGGCAAACCCCCAAATTTTGTTCGATTTTACCCGTGTTTACAAAAAATGTATATTTAGTTTCTCATCCGATATACAGTATGTCCCCGGATTGTGTTTTTAATTTTTCGAAGAAAAATCATTCCTATTTAAAAAACATAAACATAATTTTATAAGAAGAAGTTGTCAATTAAAACAAAGTCTAAATACATACGACGGAAATTATAATAAAAAAAGGTAGGTACCTACTTCTCTCTTAAATCATAATCGTTATTTTTGATTAACCCTTTCAGTCCGGCGTTCGTTTGGCTCGCCTTGCTGCACAGCCGGCGTTCGTTAGGCTTTGCGGATTCGTACGCTTCCCGGACTTAAGGCCACGCGGATTCATACGTCCCGTACCCAATGTGAATTAAAAAACAAAACGTAATTTATTTTTTATTAAAAGAAAAAATAGTTTATAAAGTTTCACATAAAGAAACAACGTAATTTATTGAAAGAACTAATCATTTTTCACATTTAAAATAAATAATAACGATTCGTAACGATAATACCCGATCGCTATAAAATTGTGTTTATAAATAAAACGAAGCATAACGCATCATATTGTACCCGTGGATCCGATCGTTTCCCGGTCTCAATGCATCAGACAGCCGCGCGTTTAAATCCGTCTCCCGGCTGTGGGATCACATTAGGTTTTGCGGACGGATCCGCTTCCCGGACTGAAAGGGTTAACCAGTAGATACAGTCGTATGCAAATAAAAAGCGTACACGTATTAAAATGAGAGGTACCTACCTACTTCATTTGTCAAATCAAGGCTGTACGCTTTTTATTTGCATACGACTGTACAATAAAACATTTTTTTTTAATCAGAACTTTTTATCAAGAATACGTTTTCTTTAAAAAACCAAAAATTAATAAGCAAACGCGGGTTAAATTAAAAGAAAATGCGGGTTTGCCGATAAAACAGGATGAAAGCACGTATTTGCAGATTAAACCGTATGAATGCAGACCTAAAAGCAAATACAGGCATTGACGGGTAAAACCCGATTTATGCAGACAAAACGAAATGCCGGAAATTGCGGATAAAACCTGACGAAATCATATATATGCGGATAAAACCAGATAAATGCAGATTTAAAACCAAATGCAGGTATTTGCGAGTAAAACCGGATAAATGCGGACATCAAATGAAATGCAGGCATTTGCGGAACAAACCGGACGAAAGCTGACAAATAAAAAGCAGACGAACGCGGATGAAACCAGACGAAAACAGACGAACAAATTGCAGGCATGCGCGGATAAAACAGGAAGAAAACAGACATTTGTAGGATAATTTCAGCTCCATTTTACGATAATTTCGTTCAGGGCCATTTATATGAAACCTACTAACACTAAAATATGCTCTTAGCTCTTAATATATGTACTTACTTGATATAACACCTTTCCATTTCTTAATTCTAAAGCTATAAATGTATTGGAGTTGCCAGCTAAAAATAGAAGTCCTTCTGACGCAAATGTTTTAAATGCAAGATGAATATCAGATTTATGTCTTATAGGATAAGACCTAGCATTTAATATTGCATAACCATTTCCATTAAATCTAAAACCAGTACTAGGCTCAAGATCTACCAACTTATCTCTTTCCATGGCACCATGATTATTTTCATAACCTTGATTAAAGTTCCATAACGATATTGGTCTGTCACCTATAACGAAATCTTCAATTTCTCCCTCTAAAGAATTGAACTCAGAAATTTCTTTTTGTATTTCATAGTTTGTTGGAGGAAAACTTCCCACAAAAAGTTTTGATTTTTCTTTATCCAAGTTAAATATAGAATAATGCCCAGTAATTGGTTTTTCAGCTTTGGTAAATACCTCTTTTCTATCAATTTCTTCCCTTATTGTTACAGTAGCATAATGTCCAATTCTATAAAACAAGTAATAGGTATGTAAAATTATGGTCAGATCATATAATTAATCTCCTATATTGCTAGCGCCCGTAAGGAGAAGTGTCACAAAGCTTCTGTCTCTTTCTATCGTGCATGAAGTCTTATGCGCATGCCCGAGAATTGAATTAAACACATTGCAGAACAGGTTGACTTTCCCAGTCTACAGTTCTGTGTTGTCCGCTGAAGTGACAAGAGTCCTTGGGAGGACAATATGGGGCTCACAGCACAAAATTAGGCTGATCAGTGCCAAAACTCCAAAATCTACATTAGATTTGTGAAGATGCAATAAGTTCCCACAAAGGATGGTCGAAATATTAAAAGATTGAATAGTCATGTGCAAACCGCCATGTAGTGCATCGTGGGTTTTTTTGCTATTTTTTTTGTCCTCTATTTTTTTGTATGACTTCCGCTGCGTGTATCGTGATTTCGTTTATGTTTGAGACATTAGTGTATTAGTGAAAAAAGAATGACTTTAAATTATAAGTGTACCGATAAGTTTTGTTAAGCTCGAACCGTAATGCTAAAATAAAAGATTGTTTTATGAACTATAAAGACTGAAGTGATATTGATGGACATATATGTTTGAAGAATAAAATAAATAATCCAGATGAAAACGAGAAGAAAAAAATAATTAATATTGAAAAGGAAGGGAGCGGCTATAGGAAGTCCTAGACTCGCCCTCCCCAGTTATAGGAAAAAAGTTTAAGCTGGCCAACTCCCGGAAGGGAAAAGCCAAAAAAGGAGAGGAAGAAGAAGAAGGTTGACTTTCCTTAGTAAAGCGTTCTGCCACTTGTTTAATTTAATTTTCGGACATGCGCATAGGACCGCAGCGTTTTCGTCGTCATGTTAAATTAATTAATTAATTATTAATTAATTAAAGTACTGTTTTAAATCCATAACAACAATGTCGATACGAATACAAAAAAAAATTATGATACTCGTCATCCCAAACGTCCCTTTTATCCTTGGCGATATCGTCATGACAAGTCGTCAGAATTAAAAAGATGTTCTGGAACTTCGTTTCTTAAAATTGTGATATACAATTATGTTTAATAAACTCGCTGCAATATAAATTTCGAGTTCAACAATTAAAATAAATTAACGACACGTCACACGATTATCATGACGACATTGTCTATTGTCATGACGAGTTTTAGAATTAAAAAGAAGCTTCTAAGCATTGTTTCTTATGATTGAATGAAATATTTGAATTAAGAAAAATAAGAGTTTTGAAAGTCTTACTTTTTCTAAAAAACTCAGAATAAGACTTATTAAGTCGGAAAAAGTCAGAATAGTCTTAGTTAGGCTAATAGCAAGATTTGGGAGTATTCTGGATAGTTAATCTGACTTTTAGCATGCGATAAAAATAAAATTAGCCGGAATTAGATTTGTTGTATTTTTTTAAAATAAAATACTTACGAAGAAAAGTATTCATTAGAATTTTTTTGGGTTTATTGCATCATAATAACACTCAAAACATAGGTACCTCTCACTTGTACAGTACATAAAATGCACTTGTTAAATACATAATTATGTAAGGTGTAATAATTATGACAATAATAATTTTTTGCAATGCATACGATGCGCTTGACTTAATGTCATTGTTGCCACGCAAATATTCATCTGACCCATTGCTTATTGCTATTGCATTATTCTGTGAACATAACTAGGGTTATTATTGCAAAAACGCCTAGTTATGTTATGCAAATAATTATTTATATTATAATCACTGTTTAAAAAAACACATTTTTTTTACTTTAAAAGTGTAATTCCAACAGTATTCATTAACTTATGGTGATATTTTGTAAGGAAATATCAATGATAACTGTAACAGGGAGAAAGTTCGAAAAAACCGTTAAAATAATTCGTGGAAAAACCAGAAATTAAGAGTTTCTTAGAAAAGTTTAGAAAGCGTTAACATGTGCGAAATAAGTAATTTTGAAAAGGATTTCAAATGTAACGTCAAAAACAAATTTATAGGGTCGTCTTTAAAGAAAATTCAAATAGAGGCCATAAAGCCATAAATCCATATTGCAGGCTATCTGTATTTTGCCAAAGCCGCCAAACATATGGCAACAACACGTTCTTTAAACGAAGAATTCTAAGAAGTAAATGAAACGCGTCAAAAATATAATAAAATTAATATGATTAAAAAAAAGTAACGAATTGATTCAGTTGAAAACTAAACTTAGAAAAATAGAGATTATAGACTAGAAATAAGACGTAAGATTAGGTAGATTTTATTGTAAATAGGAAAGCGTGGCTGCTTATTAAAAGATAAGTCTCGATCCGCCAATGTAAATTAGGTGTAGATGGGGAAAGCTCATAAGGATGGTTTGAACCAAAGAAATGCCCAATAAAATCAAACGCAGTTAATACGAATTAATAACCAGATATAAAAATAATGGGTTCAATCATTAGGCAACCCTTGTACTTTCAAAGCATCCGTAAGGGCTATCCTCAGTTATCAAATCTAGTAAATTATAGTTAAAGTTGGCTACAATGGTGGAAACTCCGCCCAATGCCTAGTAAAATTCCCACCTTTCACATAGCCAAGTTCCCGACTTAAGTCAAAGGTTAACGCCTCCTCCCTTAAGAATTATTGAACCGCTTAGATTAAAACCAATAACCTTTCGTCCTTTTCGGTTGGTATTAGAGTTTATGACCTTTTGAACCAGTTAATTTTTCAAGACCCTTGCGGAGGGGAGTTACCATGATTTTGACCAATGGTCGTTAATTAAGCATTAATCCCTTCCAATTTTTCCTTAAAATAGTCTATAAAAAACCAACACAACCTTTGACTCGCCAGTTCTTATCTAAATTTTATCGCGCTTTCCAAATCGTCGCAGATCCTCGCCAGTCCGTATCAGCCAACTTCATTTGATTCAGTGTAAGGTACTTATAGTAATTATTGTATTTCAAACCAACTTGTTTATGTTAGATTCACTACGAATAGTTTTGTTTAATTATAGTTACTTAATTATAGAATAAATCGCACCACGCATTTGCTTAGTTTAATTGTTTGTTACATTTTCTTTTAGTTTACTTTTAGTTAAATTTCTTAATCTAGAGTTCTAATTTGTTTTGTAAACTAGTTCTTTTAAATTAAATCTCTGGATTAACTTTCATTATCTATTTTTACTTTAATGTAACTTAATTTTACTTGTTTATATCTTTTAATTTTTTATTGTTAACTCTTTGTTTGTTAATATATTTATATGGTTTGAAATATCGCTTTATTGCTCTGTCTGTTTTATAAGAAATAGCCCTGAATCAAGTTAAGTCGAAAGTAAGTATATAGTGAACGGTAATCGTGTGCGAAGTTTCCGCGTGACTCGACGCGAGTGAGTTAATTGTGTCAATATACATATCGGAATACTTCGCCTTAGACTCGGCTTACCGACATCCTCCAGCCGAAGCCGCGACGATCTTCACCGGATTAAAAGGTCAGATTAGATTAGTAATTTGTAACGGGTTCCACACACCCAAGGCTCCCGTAGGTCAACAAAGGAATAAGTAGTAAAAGTATAGCAACCACAAGCACGCGACACAAAAACCCCCGTTACATAACATAATGTTAACTGTCTGTTATGAACAAACGTTGGATTATTATTGCATTTTTCTGTGAACATAACTGGGGTTATTATAGAAAAAACGCAAAGAGTTATATGGAACGCCGTTTTACCATTTAATAACATAGCGCAAATTGTTATGTTAAATAGTAAAACAGCGCGCGCCAAATCGATATTTATTTTATCTTTATAATAGTTATCAAACGTTTTACTATTTAATAACTTCAGTTGCAATTGAAATTGTGCTATATCGAAAAAAGTTAAGATTTTATGGAAAAAAGTTATATTCTATTAAGCCGGGTCTACAATTGTCGCAGGTCGCAGATCGCAGAACATAAGCTTGAGGAAAGCACCCAGCAGACAAAAAAAAACTTGCTCCATCGCCACGTCACGGTATGCTTTGCGCAAGCTTATGTTCTGCGATCTGCGACAATTGTAGACCCGGCTTTAAATAGTTATTGCAACACTAAAACCTTTTGGCAATATACGAATGTTGTAAAAAGTATGGCTAACCTGTCTAGGGGAAACAAAAACACTAGATTTAAGGATTTTAAGCATTATTTCTATGATTTTAAGGTGTTGTCTCTGGTAAGACGGTGCAGTGTCACCAGATTTGTTATAAAATAGAAAAACAATCATTAATCACCCGGCGCTTATATTAAATCCCCAAATCTGTTGATATTAAGATTAACTTTTCTCTATAAAGCACAATCGCATAAATCTTATCAATTACAAAGTGAGTTTTTGGAATCTATGACAATTTCAAAAAGCATTTTGACTTTGCGAGTGTTACAATAACTATTTATACGATAACCTGCAAGTCTACAAAAGTATTAGTGACACCTTTTAATCTGAATAGCTACAAACAACTCTTTTTACAATATACGTGCCTTGTGGAAATTTTTCTCTGAAAAAGTTTTAATAAGTAAAAATAAGAGTTTTTAAAGTCTTACTTTCTCTTAAAAAGTCTGAATAATAATTATTAAGTCGAAAAAAGTCAGAACAAGACTTATTAAGTCGGAAAAAGTCTGAATAAGTCACACTAATAGCAAGATTTAGGAGTCTTCTGAAAGAGTTTTTAAGACTTTTAGCAGAGAAATTTATTTATTTGCAAGCACTTTTTAGACACAATATCGATTTTCTCAGCTGACCAATTAGAGCACAGCTGATCTGTCATGTGATGGCATCTTCCCGCATTTTCAAGATAGCTCTACTGTCACTACTTACCAAGTGTTGGGTGGGTCATAATTTATTTACGGGCCAATTCCGAAAAATAAAAGTTAAAAAATAAAAGTCGGTGTATTTTAAAAAACCTCAATTTTTTTAGTTGGTACAGGTTTCTTCTATCAAATTTTGTATGTGTCCGCACTGGATATGTAGGTTTCTGAATTTCCGGCATCTTTTTTAAGCAACATAACCGCCTTTTTTAACGCCGGTCACACGTTCAAATCATAGATTATTTGTAAAACGTAATAACGAAATAAAAAATATTTATATTTATTATGAACGCATATATTGATGTAAATAAATAAATAAATAAAATACTTTATAATATTTAGCAATTAATAAGAAATTTGAAGAATATTAAAAATAGGCCATGTGACCGTTGTTACGACACAAAAACATACGCATGAACTAACTTTTTCATAATTTGAGGAAAAATTAAGTAAATATAATGAAAACTTACCTATTTAATGCAAAATCACTAGCAGCAAAGTTTTCGTAACACAAAATTTAACGAAGACTGATATTAGCGGCTCTGGCGGCAAAAATGTGAGCGTATATGGAGTGCTACCGGCGTTACGCACAATCTGGGGGACACAGCTTTAAGGCACTACCGAAACTTTGATATTGTAAAGAGGAGTATAAGAAAAATTGATTAAAAAATTACGTAACTGTTTCTATATCGTAAATTATTTAAATATTTATTTTCAACTTTGGACAGTAAAATGCAACAGATTTAACATAATAAACAGACGACAGGGACATGTGACCGGCGTTACATTTTGTCATTTTAAACTTCGTTACTTTTATTTTTTTTATACAAAAGCTACCGTACTTTGTTTTTTACTGGAAAATATGTGCCTTTACACAGGAATGGTATGTGTAACCAGGTAATGCTTGAAAAAAAATTTTTTTTACCAGGGACTGAAATTGGCCTGTAAATAAATTTTGACCCGGGTATTTTCGTCATGTTTGCGCGTAGAATTTTGAAGCGGGTAAAATCGGATATTTTGCAAATTTCGATCAAAATACTAACTGAAGATATTTTCAGTAAATAATATTATATGTTTACTAAAAATGCATAATTATTTTGTTCTATATAGGATATCCTGTTACATTTTTATTTACTTATACAAAAAATTTAAATTAATTTAATTATTTTTTTAAAACAGGGCAAATGCGCTAGTAAATTTAAAATATAACTAGTTTTTTATTACCTATTTTGTAATTTTTGGTCGGGAACTTTTATGACATTCATCCGGCAACACTGTAATACAGTGACTGTATAAAACACATAAAGATCAACCATATTTGTTTTATGAGTTTTATAACCTGTGTATGAGTACGACCAGAGATAAAAAATTGTTATAGTTATTATACCTTATATATGACTTAATGAACAAGGGATCTGTATGTACACAAACCAAACGTATCTCACAACTGTTTTATTCTGTTCAATTAAAATAAAGTTTGTTTACCTATATTGTAAACATTGCTTCCGTGTTTTTTTAAGCCTTATAACAACACAAAAACAGTGTTTATAAATCCTTTTCATTGTGCTTTCTTTTGCAATAACCAAATACAACATCTCTGAATAATTCCGGATATTTATTTTAATCGCTATAGCTGTAGTTAGGTTCCTACCATTTCTCTCATAGCAAACGGAAAAATATAGAAGTGTATTGGATGACGCCACGTTTGAATACAGTTTTCTAAATCTCGCCAGGGTATAGAGTTGTATTCGTCAGTCGAGCGTTTCAATACTCTCCACAGTATAGAGGTCGTAATTTCACTTTTGAACTAGTATTAATATGAAAACTATTTTATGCTTCAAAAAAAACTATATACGACATGATTGTGATTTTTTTCATTTTATTAATTAATTAAGCTGTGTTTTTTTTTACTAAAGGAATAATTGCCAATGGGCCATTAATTCATTTGTTCGTAGATGCACCTGCACTGGTGTGTACTTTTTCATCAACCAGATTTAAATATTGCTGTATTAACATTTACCAGTGGAGATAGTGCAGGGTCTACCAACAGACCTCATTACTAAATTATTAAAGTTTAATAGCATATCGATCATTTTTTTAACATAACCTCTGAAATTTTTAATACAAATATAGGTACTTTATAAAATACATAAATATACTTTACATCATATCCTCTGTGCTTTACATACCCGAGTTGTTACGGTAAATAAAAATCAGATAAAGGAACCAAAGAAAGGAACTATTTTCAACAAAATCATATGCAGAAATGAGAAAATTCAAACTACTTGCATCCATCAAAAGATCAAAACTTCTTGCAATATTACACCCTCTTTTTATACTCTCAGAAATATTGACTAGAACAGTATTAGAGAGACTCCAGTTTCTATAACTTGGTAGAGTAAAGAGAAGTCGAAACCGTTGCGATATTGCATTGCGCTGTTTTTGTATAATTCTCGGGGACATTAACGAAAATCATTGCCAGTAAAATTCGAAAAGCTTAAGTTTCTATGTCTCTCTAAAAGTCTTAAAAAGTCTTATTAACTCTTCCAGAAGACTCCCAAATCTTGCTATTAGTCTGACTTACTAAGACTTATTAAGTATTATTCAGACTTTTTAAGAGAAAGTAAGACTTTAAAAACTCTTATTAAAACTTTCTCAGAGAAAAATTTCCACAAGGGGATAATTGCCAAAACTATGTATAATATTTAACTTTTCTCTATAAAAGCTTTACATTTTTCATAGCACAATTGCATGTTATTAAATAGTAAAACGGCCTTTCATAGAGTTATGATATGCAAATAATCAACGTTTAAAAAGCACATTTTTTTACTTTAAAAATAAAATTCCAACAGTAAGTATTCATTAACTTATGGTGCTATTTTGTAACATAATGTTAACTGTCTGTTATGAACAAAAATAACAGAATGTCTATGTTTTTGGCATTATATTATGTGTTTATTATGTTATTGACATAACGTTAATAACAGAATGCAAATAAACAGAAAACATTATGTTATTTTAAGAGACAGTTAACATTATGTTATCGTTAACATTTCCGTAGAGAATAACACCATTATAACACAAATTTTGCGTTATGTTATCATATGTAAGTATATATTATATAATTGTTTAATATTAACATACAGTTAATATTGGCCTAATGATGCTTTATGAGCTTGAATTATTCGATTGCCCAGTAAAAACTTTATTATGTGTACGCAACTACGTGCAGAATAAAACAATTGGTTATTAATTTTTACTTTATTTTTACCCTATTTGGGGATCTGGGTAAGACTTATTCTGAGTTTTTCCGATTTAATAGGTCTAAGGGCCGGTTTTTCAATCGTTGGTTAAGTTTATCTTACGGTTAATTTCTTTAGATACTATTGTTAACACAATAGTATCTAAGAAAGTTAACCGTAAGATAAACTTAACCAACGATTGAAAAACCGGCCCTTATTCTGAGTTTTTCCGACTTAATAAGAAAAAAATAAAGAAAAACTTTCAAAAAAATTTCTTAGATACTATTGTTAACACAATAGTATCTAAGAAAGTTAACCGTAAGATAAACTTAACCAACGATTGAAAAACCGGCCCTTATTCTGAGTTTTTCCGACTTAATAAAAAAAAAAAGAAAAACTTTCAAAAAAATTTCCACAAGGGTAATTATATTGATAAACATGTTAAATAATAAAAATAAATTGACGACACTTCTGACGTCGACACACACAATACCGTCATTGTTGGTAGGGAGGTAGTTCTTTTTGCTAAACAATATTATTTCTGTTTGTCAACTTAATATGTAAATTAAAAATTATATAGAAATTTTACTAAAAATTGTTAATATTCTATAATTATAGAATTTTTATAAAACCAACTAGAGGGATAGTTTGCATTTGTAAAAGATTGTAAATGGTAAAAAATACTTAGATAATATAATTATTAATTATCTGGATAACCAGCCCAAATTAGTGTGGGTAATGGATTAATAATCGTAAGTAATATCATAAGGGCATCTAATTTTTCTGAAAAAAATCGAAAAAACACGTCGCTAAGTAATATTTTAACTAGAAGCATGAGTGCTGGGGGCAACAAAAATCCGAGTCGAAGACGAGGATTTTTGCACCTGCACGAATGCATGCAATATATTGTTAAAAAATATTACTTAGCATTGTGTTTTTTCGATTTTTTTCACAGGAAAAATTAGATGCCCGAATGGTATTTGACAAGACTATTTCATGAGTAACAGTTAACAATTAAAATATAAATTGCAATTTTTGGTGACAACAGCTGTCAAGTTTTGCCGCGGGTAAACTGCTGACAGGTGCTGTCATACAGTTTTTTCACCTAGAAACCATTTGTAATTCAAATTGCGCGTTTGTGATTGGTGGAAATTAAGACGAGGGAAATAGTCATAAATAACTTGTGCAGTAAAGCTGGTAATAATTTTTCCAATCTTTTGACATTATATTACTGCCTGGGCGTTAATAGATAAAAGATTATCATTTATTGTTTTATATATCCAAAAAAATAACAAACCTTTCAATAATAAATTGATACCATACGTTATCAGAAACATATTTTTCATTAATTAATTGATCAGGACCATTACCAAGATCAAATTTAAGTGTGGCATATCCATTAACTATAACCAGGGCCATATAATCATCCTAAAATAAAAAAAAGTTACACTGTAGTGGTCTTAATGTAAACTTTAAAGTTAAAGTTAATTGTATACATTTAAATTGACTTACGGATTTTGTTTTTGGTAAATTAGTTCCGTTGGGATTGCCCAAATAAAAAATAAGACCATCTCTTTTAGGTGTTCTAAAATATCCCGATATTTTTACAGACGTAGTAAGTTGTTCTATGTTATCAGGATTTTTTAATTCCAAGGTTGTATTTGGATAAAATCTAACACCAACTTTTACTTTATTAGCAATGTCTCTGGCCAGCTCAATTTGTTGGTTTAGTTTTTTAATTTTTGATTGAATTCTATCTATTTTGTGCTTTTGAGCATTTTCCATTTTGGGGAAGTATACTACTCTATTTATAATATCCGGTAATTTATCGTTTACTGAAACAACTTGTTTGTCTGTAAGAAGTAAATTACGCCTTAACTCGTCATGATCTTTTGGCAATGTTTCAACCATATTTGTTTCATTTGGAAGCTAAAAATAGTAAAAAAAAATACAACTTTATATTCAATAATACTATATTATTTTATATGCGTGTCTTGTACAAAAATGGACCACTATTATTATTATTATATTTATATTTTTAAATTTACATTTTTTTTTAATAATGTACAAGATGTAAGGGTTTAATAGTGTTTTGGTGTTAATATGGAAATTTAATATGAATTCAACACAAATTAAAGAAGTCTTCTCTGCGAAGTCAAAGAAAAAATTATTTTTAAGTCTTGATCGGTTTGATAAGTGGCGTATTCTTGAAAACTTCTAAAAAATTTAAATGTGAATTAAAGAATGCTAAATAACAACCTATTTTAGTATTTAAAGAAAATGGGTTGGGTTGAAGTTGAAGTTAAATAACACTTACCTCTTGAAAATCTACATTTAATTCTTTAATATCAGATATTATGTTTCCAGCAGTTTGAGACTGTTCGGAGGCATTTATATAAGCCATATCTAGAGACTTGTATTGTGTATTGTCCAAATTTTTTATTAATTCCTTAAGTAAATCTACGTTTCTATCGAATTCTTCTTTTATAGGCAAAAATTCATCTTGCACATTATACAAAATAGGCCCCAATTTATCTTCTGAGTTTGTTCTGAAAAAATGTTTTAGTCAATTTGGTTAATTTTTTAGTTTTATTTATAAAAATTATTATCAAATTTACATTTTTTTCGCAATATTTTTACTTTAATATTTTTTAACAATTGCGCAACAATTTATAACAAAGTCGTTTAAAAATCCCTAAATAAGTACATAGTAATAAGTAGTAAGTAAGTAGTACTACTAAGTAATAAAGTTATTTAGGGATTTTTAACTATTATAAATCGTTGCGCAAGTCAAAGTTCTTTGTTAAAAAATATCAGTATACAAATTTAAAAAAACTATTTTTTAAGACTATAGTTGTATATTAGCTTTGATTGCGGGTCCACATCCGAACTAATTCAGAATTGTCGTAGAGCGCATGCGTGATTATAAATTAGTTTGGGATTGTACTCGCATTTTACATAAGATAAACAAAAACTGTCAAATATAACCTGAAAGTGAAAATGGAATAAGATATTTTTATTAAATAACAAATATTTAGTTACATTTATAGACTAGGATTATCTCGAGGGGTAAACCACTTTAAAATCTTAGAGACCAACGGTCAATGTTAGTGGACGTTGTGTTGAGATTGTTTTCCTTATCAGACGTTATCAATAAGGAAAACTTGCTTAATCGGTGCTTAATCAGTACTGAGCACGTGCTTAGCGACGCGTTGTACATGACTACCCTTGTTATTGTTATCCTTAGCCGTAAATTCGTAAGCGATTTTTAATTTAAAAAAATCAGTGGTTTACCCCTCGGATTATCTATGGTTCAAATGCAGTAAACCAAACTTATTTCTTTTGTGGTGACTTTTTTGACACAACCCTTCCTGTAACTATATTTCAATTGGCTGATAAAGTGCATGCTGTAGGTAAACGCCATACCCTGTTTTTATCTGTTACTTCCGACTAGAGATGGGCGGTATATATCGATGTTCATTCAACATCGATGTTTTGATACCGATGTTCGATGTTTTTACATCGATGTTTGCAATATGTAATTGTCGATAAAATCGATGTTACATGAAAAATATCGAACATCGAATTTACGTCCAAAGCGACGGCACATACTTGTGGAAGTATGTGAGCGACGGATATTCGAGGGCCATCAAGCGTTTAATTAAAAAACTTCAATAAGAAAATTCAACTGGTGAGAAATTATGGATTTTTTATGAAGAAAGGCTTATGTTTACAAAAATTGCCTTTAACTTACTGTTATTTTTTATTTGCTTAAACAACATCGATGTTGCAACATGGTAGCTAACATCTTTCAAACATCGATGTTAACTTTCAATGTTAATATCGATGATAAACACAGATGTTTGTTGACCGATGTCCCATCTCTACTTCCGACCCACTGCAAGTTCTAAACCAACAAGTAGCCAATATTTCCAGACAAATTGCAGTTCACCCCCCGCGTGGGCGTTCCACATAGGACCATAAATATTCAGAAAAGATATGGCAACACTATGATTTTAATTGACATTCGCTGTTATTGCTACTGCACTCCACAGGGGGTCACAAATTTCCGGAAAAAAACTTTATACAGAATAAACATGTCTAATTTAAAAAAATCATCAATATCAAAGCGGTTTGCGAGAAAATCTAATAAAATCCAAAAATTCTAAAACTACTCGGCAGAATGTCGGGACATCCTTTACCTGAAATAACTGCAGTTTTTACTTACTTTAAACTATGAGCTTTAAAAAGAATATCCGAAGATTTGCTATCAGCTTCATATGTTTTATCCGATATATCAGTTAAAATGCTATTTGCTCGAGATGTATCAGATCGAGATTCTTCGGCAGCAGAACGAGAGTTATTAACAGTTTTTATAATATCTCGGTATGCATTTCCTGCTTTTACTGCATCTTCAGTTTCTTTATTTTCCGAAAATACTTCGGACCATTCCTGTGCTTCAAGAGATAAATTTCCTGCTCGTTCTTCAACAATGGGTTGTTTGTTATAGATATTATCAATAGCTTTATAACTATCAAGATAAGAATTAAATTCTGTATTTCTTGCATCCAAGACATCCGGCAATTCTTGAACTTCAGATAGTGTGAGTAGTGCGAGATCCATTAATTGTGTGGCATTGCTTAAGAGATTTTCTGATTTTAAGATATTACTTTTAGATAAGTCCACTTGATTCTCAATACTTTCCAATTTAGCCTTTACATGGTCTTTTCTAAAAAATAAAACTTTTATACATAATATATACATACAGGGTGTCTATTTAAAAACAAGCAATGCTTTCTAAATAAGTATGGACCTACAAAGGTATCAAAAATTGCTTAAAACCCTTTCTATGATATGTGAGGGAAATCAGTATGGACACAAACATCACCTTCACTAAACAACCTGTACAACCCTAACTCATTTTTTAATGGCAACAACCCCTTTTTTATACCTCATTGGAAAGATCTTAAAAATTGCTATTTAACAGTACTAAAAAAATACTTTTTAATAGTTTTATTTTTTTTTCAATACGCAAAATTATTTTTATAATTATTTATTCCAATTTTTCGTTATAAATATCAACTTAAACCATTAAATATCAAATTAAACCATTTTGTTGTCGTAAAAACAGTAAAGAAAAACGCAGAGCATAAAATAATTCTGCAAAAGTATAATAAACTAAGAAAGCAAAAATACAGAAATTGTTTAACAATAATCAAAATGCTATAATTTTTACCTTTTTAAATTAAATGCTTATAATGACTTTCATGAGTCTCTTTTTAAACAGTCTTTTATTATTTTGAATATTTTGTTGCGAAATATATTGCCATTATTGAACTGAAATTTAAACCAAGATCCTGTGGAGAGTTTTTTTGGTTAATTAGAAGGCATGCCATGCTGCATAATAGCCCGGTAAAGAGACCGGTAACTGGAACCTGAACAGTAAAGGTTCAGGCTGCAACAGCTCGTAACCAGGCTGTTGTGCAGCGGGCTTAAGAAACATGAATCCTTATGTGGATAAAAAATGTGAATCATATTTTAAAAGGGATATGTTTAAACCACATTAATGACAATATTAAACAAATAGCATTTAAAAAATTTACTAACTGGAACTTGAGCAGTAAAGGTTCGGTGCAACAGCTCGTTACCAGGCTATTGTGCAGCGGGCTTAAGAAACATGAATCCTTATGTGGATAAAAAATGTGAATCATATTTTAAAAGGGATATGTTTAAACCACATTAATGACAATATTAAACAAATAGCATTTAAAAAATTTACTAATTTTATAAAAAAACAAAAAATTTAAAACAACTTGAAAGTGGGGGAAACACGAACGTCGGGTTATTCCAAACAAAGCAACAATTCTTCTATGTTAGAAGAAGATGACAATATTGTGTATAAACGCCATTCTTAAAATCACGCCCGCTCTAGTACCAAACAAAAACTTTGGAGAACCAGACGCACGCTTAATTCAAGGTGTGAGTAATTCAATTTTTTCATGTAGTTTGTTCATAAAAGTATACTTGATGTAGCTTTATTTCTGTAAACAGTACAAGTTTACAGACTGAAATAATCACTAATGAAAAGTTCCACTCTGTTAAAATATGTTATAAAAAAGTTTTTCTAACGTAAGCAAAAACGTTATTTTTTTGCATAAGTTTATGTTTAAAGGTCCCATTTTACATACTAACGTTATATATATTATTTTGTATGTTAGCATCCTAACGTTAGTTATGTGTTGTTTTTTATGTGAGCTTGCTAACATTAGTTATACGAGTATATATATTAGTTATATATATATATGTTGTTTTTAATGGTATATTTTGTGTTACTTTTAAAATTATATTTTCAGTAATTTTTTATTTTATTTAACAAAAAATTTAACAAAAAAAATAACTTAATTAACTTAATTTAATATTTTAATTAGGATTTTAAGTTAAAAATATGGTATTTTAAAGATTTTTTGTTATTCCATGATTTAATAATAATTAAAACATTTAAACTACACGCCGTTAAAATTATGCCCCCTAATACCTGCCAGGTATTACCTGGATTTTTTCAGGGCCACTACAGAGATGTAAAAATGTTACAGCTGGGTATAATGATGATGTTGCTATAACATCAAAATCACGTTATTTTTAAGATGTTATTGATGACATCAATGTTATTATGTTATGTTATTATACAAGCTAATATAACATCAAATTCAGGTTGTTTTTAAGATGTTTATTTTATGATGTTATTTAGGTAGGACATAAGAATTGTATATGACGTGAATGCCATGTTAATTTCACTAAAATGATAACATCACAGGTGAAAAAAGAACATCATATTCACATGTATGACGTTTCGTCATCATAAAGATCAATTTAGAGTGCTTTGAACTATCTTATTTTCTTCTAATGGATTCACACAATGCCTGAAAAATAGAACTTTCCTTAGAAAGTTGTTATTCAGCTATTCCCAGCAGTCTAAACTTGTCAAAATTCGTTTTTCTCAAATAGTTTAAAGCACTCTAGATTGATCTTTATAATGATGCACTTTCTGATGACGAAACGTCGAAAGGTCAATTTGAGGATGCTTGCTGACTCAGAATTTCCTCAGGATTCCAAATATGTAAAAATATATAGGGCATTCCATTTAAAAATCGAAAGTTGGTATCATTTCCGGCGAAACCGGAAGTTCAAAAAATTCATTTTGTACTCTTTAAGTGGCATTTTATATCCTTATTAACTATGCTAAATTTCATGTGTCTATCTTTATAAATAAAAAAGTTACAGGGGTGCGCCTATTCTCAGATACACCCGGTATATTCTACAGATTATTTTGAGTCGTTTGAACCCCATATTGCCTTATTTCTCGATAAGATTTAAAGTTAATTAAACGATTCTTTTTTTAGTAGTTAGCCCATACATTGGTACATGCCACATAGTAATAGTTTTTCCAAAAAAGCCATATGGAACTTCAGAAAAACAGTACAAAATAAAATTTTATTCGCGAATTTGGAAGACTTGTTAAGTTCATCAGGATTTTTTTTTAAATTTCACTATACACTTTGCGTGCAAATTGTTTAAACAATTTTACATTTCGAATGATGTATAATATGCCAATAAAAACTATTATTTTTAGGTAGAAAATGTCACCTTTGTAAAACACACACCGGTTTTAGTTTACGCTAACAATTCACGATTAGTAGTAAGTAAAATACTAGAGTGTTAAGTTAAAATTTATTTATTAAAATATTACTAAATAAAGGTCTACAGAAAATTCTCAAAGTGTCCGCCATCATTTCTAATGCAAGCTTGTGCCCTTTTTTTGATTTCACCGCGAGTAAGTCGATTATCTAAGTTGTTTCTTAATTATATATATATATAATATTTTAACTGCATAGACCTTTTCTTTCATGTGCCCCCTTCACATAAAAATCTAAAGGTGTTAAATCAGGGCTCCTTGGTGGCCATAATATTGGTCCCCCTCTACCAATCCAACGATTTGGAAACCTCTGATCTAGAAACCGCCGAACATTGATGCTATAATGGGCTTGGCATCCATCGTGTTGGAAAAACATTTCAATCCTGTTTGCTAATGGAACATCATCCATTAATTCTGGCAATACGTTATTCAAAAATTCCCCATAAGCTTCACCATTCAAATTATCTGGCAAAAAGTGAGGACCGATCAATGTACTGCCAATTACACCCATCCACACATTTACACTAAATTTTCTTTGAAAACTAGTTATTCTTTTCTTATGTGGATTATCCTGTGCCCAGAAGTGTAAATTGTGAAAGTTAGTAATACCTTCTCTACTAAATTTAGACTCATCAGTCCACAAAATTCTAGACAAGAACCTGGGATTATCAATATCTGCATTTAATAAATATCTGCAAAAGCTGATTCTTCGTTGGGGATCACCTTCCTTAGACCCTGGACAGGTGTATAATGAAATGCATGCTGGCCTGAACGTTTCATTACACGAGCAACCTTGCTTTGTGTTAAACCCAACTCAGAAGCTACTTTTCTTGTGCTGGTAGTTGGATCTTCTTCAAATCTTTCTAGAATGTCTTCATGAACATTTACATTAACTTCAGGAGCTCCAATGCGTGGTCTTGGTATAACAGTGCCGGTTTCAGCTATACGACGATAAGTTGTACTGAATACTCTTTCATTAGGAACGCGTTTTTGTGGGAACCTTACTTGATATTCTCGTCGAGCTTCGGCTGCGTTTCCATTACAAAATCCATATACAAACATAATATCAGCGTATTCAACATTTGAAAAGTTTGGCATGTTGAATTAATATGAATTAAACCTTTATTTCACAATAATTTAAATACACAATTCCTGATACCTCAAGAATAGTTAATATCTAATAATTATTATTCCAGGTAAAATTTTCTTTAATTTGCTTTCATATTAGTTAAATTTTACCTTTAATAATACAAATAATACATCAAGACCCATTACTACATGGAACTGTTAATCCTAGGGTGAACTAAAACCTGTATGTGCCTTACAAAGGTGACATTTTCTATCCAAAAATAATAGTTTTTATGGACATATTATACATCATTCGAAAGGTAATACATTAAGAAAGTTTTTTAAACAATTTGCACGCAAAGTGTATGGTGAAATTAAAAAAAAATCCTGATGAACTTAACAAGTCTTCCAAATTCGCAAATAAAATTTTATTTTATACTGTTGTTCTGAAGTTCCATATGGCTTTTTTGGAAAAACTATTACTATGTGGCATGTACCAATGTATGGGTTAACTACTAAAAAAAGAATCGTTTAATTAACTTTAATTCTTATCGAGAAATTTAAAAAAATGTAAACCTGGACACGATTTTTTACCAAAATCACAAAAAATCAAATAACTCCAAAACTAATAACGTTTGGATAAGGCAATATGGGGATCAAAGGACTCAAAATAATCTGTAGAATCACCTCCTTAAATTAATGCACCTACTTCTGACTCACCCTGTATATACATATCAACATTGAGCTGTTTTAAATCATTCGACTATTTACTATTACACGCGACAAAAATATTTTATAACGGTTAAATGCTCAATATTTTTAACATTTTAATTAAATATTTGCAAATATTTTGTAGAATAATAATCAAAAATTTGTAAAAATTATTAATTAATGATAATTTTAATTGATCTTTAGTGAAAACGCAAATGATATAAAAATATGATTTTTTTTGGCTAATCTTATACAAA